GGGCTGTGGGTCGGGCAAACCCTGGGATGGCCCAGCCTGTCCTCTTCCTCTGCAGAGGGCTCGGGCGCCTCCTACCCCTGAGTGACAGATGTCATTAAGTCACAGCTGGCTACACTCACTGTTGCTGTCAGTGTGGCCGTGGCCTTGTGGGGAACCGTGCGCTCAGGGGCGACAGCAGCCTCGGATGTCCACGGCATGCTCACTGCGTGCTAGGCGCTGCCACGGGTTCTCTGTTAACCCCCCGCTTTGCAGATGGGGAACCGAGGCTCAGGGAGACTGCACAATGGCTCCAGGGCCAAGCCTCTGCTAAGAGCCTGAGCCCTGACGGGGCCCAGGCTTGGCTGCCCCTCGCTGGGCAGGAGGAGGCGATGCTGCCCAGTGGCCCCGAGGTGTGATGTGTGTGTGTGTGTGTCATGTGTGTGTGGTGTGTGTGTGATGTGTGTGATGTGTGTGTGATGTGTGTGTGTGATGTATGCATGTGTGTGAGTGATGTGTGTGTCATGTGTGTGGGGTGTGTGATGTGTCATGTGTGTGGTGTGTGTCATGTGTGTGGTGTATGTGATGTGTGTATGGTGTGTGTGTCATGTGCGTATGTGTGATGTATGTATGTGTGTGTCGTGTGTGTGATGTGTGTCATGTGTGTGTGGTGTGTGTCATGCGTGTGTGGTGTGTGCCGTGTGTGTATGTGTGATGTATGTATGTGTGTGAGTGATGTGTGTGTCATGTGTGTGTGTCATGTGTGTGTGTCATGTGTGTGTGTGATGGTGGGAGGGGGCTGCCCTGTCAGGAGGTCCCCCCTGTGTCCCGGACACTGAGCTGTGTGTGCACTGGGGGGGTCAGGCTGCTGAGGTCACAGCCCAGAGGGAGAAGCCGCTGCCTGCTGGGACTGAGCAGGGCTCACTAGGGGCGGTTCAGCTTCCGACCGTCCTATCCAAACTGATGTCAGATTAAAATTAGGGAGTCAGAGAGGGAAGATGGGGTCTGGGGGGGGCAACATGGCAGGGGGGCGGCCTTTGAGATGTGGGCAGCTCGGGAGGCCGTGTGGCGAAGGGCACACTTACCAACAGCACTGACACAGGGACTCCTGGTTCCTACAAGCCAGACACTGATTTCATCCTGCAAACCATCCTGAGAGGGAGGGGCTGTGATTAGCCCATTTTACACGTGTGGAAACTGAGGCACAGGCAGACTAGGTATCTGCCCAAGGTCACACAGCAGGAAGTGGTGGGACTGAACTTCTAACTGGGGTGGCCCTGAGCTTGCTCTCTTCAGCCCTACACTGTCACAGAGACCCGGGGGCATCCACCTGCGTGGTGGGCCTGCGTGAGGACAGGAGCCCTGACTGCGCTCAGATGGGGTCCTGTTCCGCTCACCAACGGGGCCCCCAACCCCATATGCCCTCCCAGACCAAGGCATTGCCCAAACATGATGTGGGCCTTCCACGCATGAAGGTTTTCTTTTACATCCAAAGGGGTTATCTTATCCCACTTTGTCCCCTGGATTCAACCCTGGCTGTATGACCTTAGGCAAGTAGCTTAACCTCTGTGTGCCTCAGTATTTTCACCATGTGAAATGGGTTGAGAATCCCTTTCTTCACAGGCTGGATGGAAGGATGAAGTGACTTAGTACAAGTGGGAGTTGCACAAACGTCAAGGCTCAGGGCTGCAGTGCTGCAGGCAAGGTCCCTGGGACTCCTGCAGGAGCTTGTCTGGGGTCTTCTGGGGGTAGGTCCCAGCTTACAGGGGGTTCCTCTTGAGGGAAGAAAATCAGCTCTTGTGGGCACTGGGTTTCTGACTTTGGGGTGCTGGCATCCGTGGGAAGGGAGGGCAGTGCAGGGACTTGACCTGGGGTCTGTGGATAGGCTTAGGGTGCAACGCAGAGCCCCAGAACCCTAGGGGAAATGCCGTAGGTCTGGCCACTTTGGTGGGAGGGAATGGTCCCCGTCTGCCTGGCCCCAGACTGGGACCCTGGAAGTTCACAAGCCCTGCCTGGTGAGGGGCTATATCCAGCCAGCAGGTGGCGCTCGGACCAAAGCCGTGACAGGCTGAGCCCCGAATCCTCCACTGCAGGCTCTCAGGCTGAGGTCGTCTGGGACCTGGGACCTGGGACCTGGCTGGGACCTGGCTTGGGGCTCCTCTCCCCACAGACGCTCTCCTGCCACAGAGACCAGCCAGAAAGTGGTGCTGGGTGGGGGGTTTCTGGGGTCCCAGCTACGGCTGTGGTCCATTTGTGCCCTGGGTGTGTCCACCTGGAGCCAGGCAGGGACATCTCAGCCCCCAAGGGGCTCCTTGGGATCATGGAGGAGCTTTAAAAAATACTGCTTCCCAGGCCCCTCTCCCAGAGACTGTCATCAATCGATCTGGGCTGGTCCGGGACTCAGCATTTGTTAGACGCTCTGAGGGCTGAGAATCACTGTGCGAGATACACTTTCATCCTCCCGAGGAACTCCATGGAGAGGGTGCTGTCCTTATCTCTGCCCATCTCACAGAGGAGGAAACTGAGGCTCAGGGGTGATGGGACTTACCTGAGGTTATGCTCAGGTTACACCTAGGGCTACAATGCTAAGCCCCACTCATTCTTTTATCTCCAGGATATTAATAATAATAACATCACCGATGCAGGGTTTCTCAACCTGGCACTGCTGACATTGGGGTCCTGACAATTCTTTGCTGTGGGGCGGTGCTGCCTAGCAAAGGGGGAGGTGGAATACAGTCCCACCCCCACCCCACAATGATGTCCAAGCCCTAATCCCCAGAAGCTATGAGTATGTCACCTTACATAGTGAACCAGGCTTTGTGGTTGGGATTACAGATTTGAGGGGAGATTATCCTAGATTGGCGGGGTAGGCGGAGAGTAATCACAAGGGTTCTTAGAAGAGGGAGGAAAGAGGAGGGGGTGGAGGGGAGATTGGAAGATGTGATACTGCTCAATCTGGGGACAGAGGAAGGGGCCACGAGCTGGGAAATCAGGTGCCTCTGGAAGCTGGAAAAGGCAAGGGAGCAATTCTCCGCTGAACCTCCAGAGGAACCAGCTCTGCCCACGCCTTGATTTTAGCCTGCTGAGCTCGTGTGGGACTTCCGACCTCCAGGACTGGAAGATGCTAAGTTTATGTTGTTTTAAACCACTCATGTGCTGCAATTTGTTACAGGAGCAACAGGAGACTACTTCCCCTGCCCCGTGACAACCAAGTCTCCAGACATGCCACTTGTCCCCAGGATGGGAGGATGTGGGTAGAGTGGGCCCCAGTGGGGAACCACTGAACTACTTATTCTTTACTGAGTTCTTCCCACGTGTGGTCCAGCCTTCGGAGGCCCCCATACCGTCTAGCACTCTCGCATACCTGAGCTGTGTGCCCTTAATCTCCTCCCCGGCCCATTCTGCAGATGAAATGGCTGAGGCTCAGAGCCTTTAAATGGGCAGTGAGGGATGGGGGTCACACAGATAGGACAGTGAAACGGATTCCCCTTTAGAATCTCGTAGCCTCCTTCCAAGACTCTGCGTCCCTGCACCCTCATGCCTCCCACCAGTGGGCGGAGCTGGGTCTGTCTCCCCGAGGAGATGCCAGGTCTTTCGGGGGCTCTGCAGCCCAGGTAAGGGGCAGCCCTGCCCTCACGCCCACTGTCTGACACCCCTGATCTCTAGGTTTTGTGGCCTTTTCCCAGCTGGGCCGCTTCTCCAGCAGCTGGTGGAGACTCAGCTGAAGGAGGCAAAGGCCATAGGGTCTCAGGTTGGGGTGGGAAAGAGAATGTGCAAGTGGGTCAAAAAACGTGGGCCAGGCAGTGAGAGCCAGGATGCCTTCACCTCCCCCACCATGGAGGTGAGCACATTTGACTCCACATTAGCCAATCAGAGCACTCCATTCTCCCTGATTGGTTCAAGGATCAGCATGTGATCCATGCTCAACCAATCAGAATCCTCCCTGGGACATTCTACCTGTTGTGTTTGGCTTGAAGAATTCTCTTTCTGCTGGGGTTGCTAAGCTGACAAGCTGTAAGTCTTGGGTGGCTGGCAGCCATCTGGAAAGAGTCTCTCAGAGAGATGGAGAGAAAAGGCCTGAAAATACTGCTTGAGCCCCTGGATCCAGCCATTCCTGAAGCTAGTTATCTCTTGATTTCCCAGTTGCATGAGTAAATAGATTCCCCTTTTAGGTTTCTGTCATTTGCAGCCCAAATGCTCCTGGATTTCTCCCTAGACTATTTTTCTTGCTCTAAGCCTCTAATCTTGGCTGTCTGCTAAAGCCCCACAGGTGAGGAGTCCTGTCTAAGCTTACTCTGAGAGGAGTAGAGAAGCTGGGATAAGAAAATAGAATTGCAGGGTGTGGAGAAAAGGGAACCCTCTTGCACTGTTGGCGGGAATGTAAATTGGTGCAGCCACTATGGAGAACAGTATGGAGGTTCCTTAAGAAACTAAAAATAGAGCTACCATATGATCAGCAAATCCACTCCTGGGTATATACCTGGAGAAAACCATAATTCAAAAAGATACATGCACCCCAACGTTCATTGCAGCTCTATTTACAATAGCCAGGACTTGGAAACAACGTAAATGTCCATCAACAAAGGAATGGGTAAAGAAGATGTGGGACATATATACAATGGAATATTACTCAGCCATTTAAAAAAAACCTGAAATAATGCCATTTACAGCAACATGGATGGATCTAGAGACTGTCATAGAGTGAAGTTAAGTCAGACAGAGAAAGACAAATATATGATATTGCTTATATGTGGAATCTAAAAAAAGGGTATAAATTAACTTATCTACAAAACAGAAATAGAGTCACAGGTGTAGAAAACAAACTTGTGGTTTCCACGGGGTAAGAGGGGGGAATGGATAAATTGGGAGATTGGGATTGACATATACACACTACTATATATAAAATACATAACTAATAAGGACCTGCAGTACAGCACAGGGAACTCTACTCAATATTCTTTAATGGCCTACATGGGAAAAGAATCTAAAAAAGAGTGGAGATATATATGTATATATATAAACGGATTCATTTTGCTGTATACCTGAAACTAACACAACATTGTAAATCAACTCTACTCCAATAAAAATTTTTTCACAAAGAAAAAGAAAATAGAATTGCATTTGTGAACAGGTCATGGTGCTTTTGGAAAATCACTTCCAACTCTTGTAGCAAATTCCTCCTCCCCCATCCCCACCCTGATCCCATCCAACTCCGTGGATGGCAAGTTCTGTGTGCACAGGTATCATTGCAGAAAGGGGGGACGGTGGATGAGCTAGTGAGAGCAAAGTATTGGGGGGTGGATGGACTTAATCATTCTTTGCTTTAAATGGTAGCTAGTTAATCTCCTTCCTGAAGAGACCAGCTTTGACCTTCACCTCCGGCCCCTATTAACAGCGAGCAATGCTTTGTCAGCGAGTTTATGACAAATTAATTACACAGAGAGGGGAAATCTCGCAGGAAAATTGAGTGTTCTGGCTTGGGCTGCAGGTGGGAGCTGAGGCTGAGTTCTGAGATGCGTTTTGATGGCCCACTGATACGGGCCTGGTTCGCCACAGACCTCGGGCAAACTTTGAGGCAAGCAGTTAGTTTTCAGCTCACCCCAGAGGGCAGACAATGCCCGAAGCAACGAGTCAAACCTGATTTCAAGCCCCTTACACTGTGTGGCATGTCTGCGCGCTGGATATCCCAGGCAGGAGGGATTTGGGGGCCCCAGGTCATGGTGGTGGCCGAGATGACTTTGCCCCCTGTAGGCTGGGCCATTCCGGCCCATTGGACAAAAGCCTTCCTTCCCTGTAATGAACCCAACTCCCTTGTTGCATGGACTCGCCCAGTTCCTCCTGGAATATTTGCGCAGGTGGAGCCATGCTTGTCCAGAGCTCAGCATCAAGTCCAAACTCCTCTCCAGCCAAACTCCCACTTGCATTTTCTTTGCATTGGGCTTTCTAGCAACACCCAAACTGCTGTGCTGCTATAAGTCCTCTTGTTCTGACCATCATGCCTTTGGCCAGGCCGAGCCCCTGCCTAGAACACCATTCCCCGTCCAACCTCCTCCCTCTGCCAGATGTTGAAGAATGAGCCCTAGAGCTTTCTCCTTCCCTGGGGAGCCTCCTGGGCGCTCCGGACAGTGTCTGCATTGGTGTTCTGCACTCCTTTAATTCCCCGTGATGGTTCCTGCTCAGGACTCACTGCCCATGTCCCAGGCTGCCTCTCCCACCGGCTGTGAACTGCTCCCCAAGGGCAGGGCTTGGTCTTCCTCTCTCTGTAGCCCGAGGGCATGGTACTCAGGAGGTGGTCAGTGGAGGGGCCGTTCCAGCGTACACTGGAGGTTCAAGAGTGAAAAGACAGGGCCTCTGTGCCTAGTGAATTCGCTGGCCAGTGCTTGGGGAGATACAGCCGACTTCTGAGGTTCTTACCTGTCTGGTGGTATCCCTTTTCTGGCAACTTTAGAGAATGACCCATCCCTAGCCCTCAAGGCCGAGGTAGGAAGGTTCTAGAAAGGTCAGGTGGTAAAGTGGTCAGGTGGCCAAGACGGGCCTTGAGGAAGTCAGGTCCTGAGTGAAGGGCAGAGAATGGGTGGCCCTGATGGATGGCGGGCCCGGGAAGGTGACCCCCTGGCAGGCTGCTCCTGCCACCAGCAGCCCTGCCCTTGCCCCACGCCGGGCCCAGCCCAAATGCGGAGGCAGGCTGGCCACGTGTCAGGAGGTGAGAAGGTCAAAAACGACACTGACGTCAGCAGAGAGCTCACTGGCTCCCAGGCTCTTCCTGCGGGAGTCCGCCTACAGGCTGCTTGCACTGAGTTCCACCCTCCGGGGACACTGGCTCTGCGATTCTGTCGCTCAGCAGGTGTCTTCCGTACTTCTGGGACCCCTGCGTTTTGAGCGTCATAGCCGCTAGCTCTCCTGAGATGAGTGTCTCAGCGTTGACAGGGGCAGCCTGACTGCTGCCGGGAGGGACCTCGCTTCTGGATCGCGCAGCTCTGGAGGGAGGGTCTAGAGAAGAGATGGGGCCCCAGGAACACGTGAGCCGCCTCCCCTCGAATTACCGAACAGCCAAGACGATTTGCTTCACCGGGACTGAGGCTGCTGCCCTGGACACAGGCTTCCCCGGTGGGTGACCTTGTGTCCCTATCTCCGAGGCCCCGTCCTTTCTCCCCTGGACCGTTGCTCCCGCTTCCTCAGCCCCCTTTGCTTTCCCTCGATTGTCTTCAGCCAGACTTTTAAATCGTGCCCCACATCAAGTTGCCCCTGGTTGAACCCTCTAGGCCTTGCCAGGTCACTTCAGATAAGATCCGGACCTTTCTTCTGGGCTTCCCGGCACAGAGAGACCTGGCCTTGCCCACCGGATCTACTCCCTTCCGCTCCCTGGGCTCGTGTGTGTGTGATTCTGGATGTCACCCTTCTTCCCACCGCGGGGCCTTTGCACTTGCTGTTCCCTCCACTGGCAATGCTGTTCCCACATCTGTGCTTGGCCAGCTTCTCCTTCCCCACAGGCCTGGGCTTAGATGTCACCTCCTCCTGAAGCTTCTCTGGCAGCTTGGCTAAGGCAGCTCCTCTCCATCACGGCGCTGCCCAGCCACCGCCCCAGGTTTTATAGTTTTTTATAGTGTTGGTCTTAAAAGCCTCAAAAGGCTTGGTTTGTGACTGTCTCTAGTCCCTATACTGGACTCTGGCCCCTGTGAGTGGGTAGTATTTGTCTGTTTGTGCTCTTAGCTGTATCTCCGGGGGAGGGAGCGTTTGAGGGCGGGAGTGGGGCCTGAGTAGGAGCATGAATGAATGAATGACTTCTTCCTAATAATTGAAACGGGGAAGAAGCGTAAGGTGGCTACAGCATTATTTGGGGGGAAGAATCAGTGAAGTGGGTGACTAAGAATCGAGGAGGGATCATGTTCCAGAAGTTTCCAGGGAGGCCCAGCTTCACGGGCATGTGGCCTGGGCAGTCACACAGGCCCGTTCAGAGGGACCTGTGCTCAGTTTACTGCTCTGCTGTCTTTGTCTTGAAATTCTTGCTAAGTTTTGAACAAGGAGCCTTGCTTTTACTGGTTGCGCTGGGCACCACAAGTCACGTCACTGGTCCGGTCCAGGTGTCCCAGCAGTGAGGGGAGCGTATCCAGTCCTCACTCCAACTCGGGAGCCACAGGCTAGTCTAATCACCCTCATTTTACAGACGGGGAAACAGAGGCTCCAAGCTGAGCGGTGGGTTAGGTGGACCCCACACGTTCTACCCTAGAGCCCCCGCTCCTGCTACGACCCTCTCCTGTCTCCCAGACTCCAGAAATGGGAGGCTCGTGACTGTTGAATAAATGAATGAATGAGAGAGGGAAAGAGGACACACGGGGTGTCCCAGGCTCACCTGTGCTCCCTCCTGGCTCGCCAGCCCTTGCGACTCCTCTGGGATCAGCCGCCCCTGGGTTGACAGTCATCTTGTTGTTGTTGCCTACGGTGGTGTCCTCCAGGAAGCACGAGCGGATGTGGACTCTCTGGGCCACGCCCCCTTCGGAGTGAGGTCCTGGTTCGGGGATTTGAATTTTGATGGAAGCTTCCGGGCCTGTACCCAGGACAGAGACTGCAGGTCAGCCAAAGAGAGAGACGCCGGGGGGGCGTGAGGGGAGGTGGACGGTCAGAGCAGCTGGACGGTGGGCCTGACCCCCAGCCTGGTTCTCAGGTCCTCCACGGCTGTCCTCCTGGAACCTCCCCTCAGTGGCCCATGCCGTGCTCTGTCACTGGCGGACGCGTGGCCTCACACGGCGTATCTGCGCATGCCTTTCACCTGCTGGGGCTGCCGGTTCCCTCGGCCCCCGGCTCTGCCAGCTTGGGTGCCCCTCCTCCTGCAGCCCAGCCCAGCTGAACTGGTCCTCTGGGCCGCCCCTGGGACTCAACCCCTCCCCCCGCTGCCTCCTGCTTCCCGTCTCTCTGCTGCCTGCTTCCTGGCAGCTCTGGGACACCCTCTCCATCTTTGGTTAGAATCTCCCTGTGGCCCCCCAGTCCGGCCCCCAGCCGCAGCTGTCTCGCTCCTGCCTCTCCCGGCCAAACGTCAGGAAAGAGCTGCCCGTGCTCTGTCTCCCCTCCTTCCACTCCCCGTGCCCCTTCTGTCCCCTCAGGTCACCACTGACCCCTTGTTGCTGGACCCTACAGCCCTCCCTTCATCTCACCAGCCTCGCCTCCTCTGGAAACCCATCCCCTGGCGTCCCTGGTTCTCCTTCTCTCTCTCAGGCCTCTCTGCTCTGCTCCCACACCCCAGCCTGTCTCTCGATGATCAGTGCCAGGGAGGACGCGGCCTGGGAGCTCTGGTCACTGGTGACAGCGCCTAGGTGGCTCCTTAAATGCATGTCCAGTTCCAGTCCAGCCATCTCCTCTGTTCCCGCTTCAGCTGGCCCAGGAAATGATCCCTGCCCATTGTACAGATGAGGAAACTGAGGTTTCCTGAGGGGGGTAGTAGGGAATGGGAACCCAGGTGCTAACTCTAAAAGAGCCCCCCGCTCTACAGCCTCCTCGTGGGAGGGAAAGAATTTCCCATCATGCCTCTCTCCCCACAAGAACTGGCTCAAGTTCCATCTAGCCAGGAGCCGAATGCAGTGGGCTGGGGGTGGGGTGGCAGCCTGTTCTCCAGTTACCTGGGGGGCTGCCACAGGTGCTGTAGGCAGGGCCCTTGGCTGGGTTGCCGTGAAGACTCATCTCGTTGCCGTGTCCCATCTGTACATGTCTGAGCACAGACTTCTCCATCCGGATGTCCTGGGGCCCCCAGGATCCAGCCAGGGGACCACGAGTTGAGGGATCAGTGGGTGCCACTGGAGGGAGGTAGAGGGGAGCCAAGGAGCCTGGCAGGGGACACAGAAACGTGACCCCTGACCCCCCTCTGACCTCTCCCTACCCCCTACCCCCCCCCCCCCCCCCCCCCCCCCCCACACACACTAAGTCCTGGCCGGACAGAGGAGACAGGCTTTGGGATTCTTTCTGGACACCATCAGACTGGGAGTGATTACTTCAGGGTCTGGGTTGGAGAGCAGGTGGGCCGGCAGGACAGGTAGCATGGGGTTCCAGGGTTTTTACCACTGGTGCCTGGGGTGTCACTGGGGCACTGAAAACCCAGACAATGAGCACATCCTCTGCTTCCTAGCTGTTCTCAGTCCTCTGGGCCCATCAGGAGAAAGTCTCCTTTGGGGTTAACTTGCTGTTGACATGGAGCCCTCAGAGCTTCTGACATGGTTTTATTTTGTCAGCATTTATTTTTATGGTAACCTTCGTAGTTTTCAAGGAAATGCTGTAAAAGTTTACTTTAAAATTAATTTGAGTAGAATAAAAAGTAAACCATTTAACAACATGGCATAAAGAATCAGCCATGGGCGTGGCCAAAATTAGGGAGGTGGAGCTCAGAGGACCAAAGCTGGGGAAAGGTTGATCTAGACTCTAGAATGAAGTTCCTCATATCACAGCTGGGGAAACTGGGGCCTGGAGCAGGGAAGGGCTCTCTCGAGGTCACAGGGAGCGTTCCAGCTTTGGGGCCAGCTCTCTTGCTCACGTCCCATGGCTGGACTGATGGGTGACCCTGTCCCCTCTGCCCACAGTGCCCGCCATGGAGCAGGCACTCATTTGCTTACTGTATTTCACCAAAGCTCGGATGCACCCATACGATGCATCCCAGTTTCTGAGATGTTAACACATGGGAAAAAAGAGTGTCTCGGGACACACAGAATGCTCCAACGACCCCTTGTGACATCCTAGAGAGGAAGAGTGAACTGAGTTGTTTCTTGTGGGAAAATATTGGGTCCCGATGAAAATGAGGCAAAAGATGTCGGCAGGAAGGGGAAGCAGGAGAGGTTTGATCCAGGCACAAGGAGGGACATCCTTATTCCTGAGAAAGCCAGAAAGGACCTTGGAGATCTGAAAGCTGCCCTTTCTCCCTGGAAGGTTGAATGCCCCCCACTCCCTGCCCCCACCCAGATGGAGCAGATGCCCCGACAGGTCCCTTCTCCTGGACATTTCAGAGGACTCACCATTTTCCCCAGAGGCCATTTGTCTCACTATGACATTCCTGTGTCCAATCTGGATGGCTTCGGAGTTCTCAATGGAAATGTGGCTGTTTGGTCCATTCTGACTGATCATGTTGATTGGATTTTGCTGGTAAATAACTGGGGTGGACTGGTTTGTAGAACTTTCTGCAAAGTAACATTCCACTCAATCCCTTTGTATCTCTCTAGGAGTCAGAAGTTCCAAATACTAGTTGGCAGCATCAAAATCTCCTGGGGAACTGGTTAAAACACAGATTCCCAGGGGCCCACCCCGGGGTTCTGAGTCAGTAGGTCCAAGGTGGGCCCCAGGAAGTGGAGTGTTTACCAAACACTGCAGGTATCACAGACGAGCCTTGCTTGGACTTTGTCCCGCAGGCCACCCTACCCCTGTGTCCTCTGCCACCCTGGGAGGATGGCAGGTGCCTTGATGCTTGCCCACCCTCTGTACCTCTCACTGCGAGGAACCCACAGCCCTAACCATTGCTTCCAGGGTCCTCTCTTCCTTTAGGGAAGGATGCAAGGTGGCCGTCCACAGGCTATTTCTGGCCATGGGATAAGCTTTGCTTGACTCACAAGGCATTTTTAAGAATTTGGATTTGTCACCAGTGTTTAACATCCAGCCTAGGGTGCTGAGACCCTCCTTGGGTACCATAAGCAGGGGTGTCAGCCCCACGTGGGCTCCACACACGGGGCCACATTCCCACCTTCGGGAGCCCTTGGCTCCTGTGCCTTTGTGAGCCCCTACATCCATAAAAAGTATTTAAAATTACATTTTATGACTGCGTTGGGATATAGACAAATATAATCTTGGCTAGAGTCATTATTAGCTATTCATCGTTACTATAATACTCATTTTTTCTTCTGATTTTAAGAGAAACTAGAGCATTTTTGTGACCCCCTAAAAGCACCGTGGGCTCTAGGCCTGGTACCTGCTGCATGTAACGGATAAGTCGGTTCTGGGACTCTACCCTGTGGGTATCTGAGCTCAGCCTAGCCTATTCCTTCAGCAGCCTTAAAACTCCAAGTTGGGCAAAGTGCTTACAGAAGACTGTTAGCAAGACTGATACAGTCAGGGGTGGGCCACACCTCTAGGAAGCCCTCCCTGGTTACTCCTGCCAGCATGCCCCTCCCTCCTGGAACCCTCTTCCAGGGACGGGTCAGCAAGAGCACAGCAAGCTTCTGACGAGGTGGGGCAGGCAAAGAGCTTAGCGGGAGCCCAGCAAGGACCAGGTGTTGGGTATTATGCTTTCTCTTCACAGCTCTGCCCTCTGCCCCATCCAGGTGTGGGCAGCAGGTAAAGGGCCTACCTGGTCGATAAATAGCCCAAGTGTTTGATTTCTGGTCTAAGTCCAGGAGGTGCTTGTTCCTCATCGCGTACAAGTCTGGGTTGACTTCCTTTGCTGTCTTCATTCCCAGGGCCTGGGCAATGATCAGGGCTCTTTGGGGCCCATGGGCTTCCAGAAACCGGAAGATCTCTTCCTCTGGGAGGCAGGACAGCAAGTAGTTAAGGAGGACCCCGGAGGCTGAATCCGCTCCCCTGCTTACCAGCTGTGTGACCTGGGACAGACGCAGCCTCTGTGCCCATTTTCCTCATCTGTAAAATGGGCATAATTATAATGGACCATAGAGGTTGTTCTGGGGGTTGGGGATATTCGTCAAGGGCTCTGAACAGTGCCTGGCACGTGCTAGGTGCACAGTAATTGCCAACTACCCATCAAATGGTTTCTCAGCCGTTTAGCTTCTTTTACTGAAAGACAGAGTCTTGCCTCCGAACACTTTGTGGGGACCTGTTAGTGGGTGGGCCGTGGCCCCTGAACACTTGTAACTTCTCGAGTGGCCAAGGAGAGTTTGGGGTCAGAGGAAACAGGAGCTGAAAGGAGACAAGATGCTTACGCTGCTGACTGAGCTCAGAACCGGGCTTCCGGGGAATTGCAACTGCATCTTTCTGGGGCCTCTCTGCTGGGAAGAAAGACGGTCAGGGGTCAGCCGAGCGGGAGAGGGGATGGGGACCCTACCAGACAGAGGTGGGCTGCTCTGTAGAAGCCCCTAGCGCATGGACGCTCCAAACTCAGAAGGAACTTAGCTTCAAAGTCCGCCCCGCTCCCTTCCAGCTGTGTGGCTTGGGGTTGGGGAGAAGACCATCTACTCCCTCTGGGGTTGTGTGCGGGCTAGAGGACCCCTGGGCACCGCACCAGAACTAGAAAAGTGGATCTCGTGCGATGCTACGGCTCTTCTATTATTATCATATCGTTACTTCCATCATCATCATTGTTAACGTTTTGCTGAGCACCTACTACGTACTGGAACTAGGCTCAGCCCTTTGCATCAAATCCTCTCGCAACCCTACAAAGCAGCCCTACTGTTACCTCCACTGGCCAGAAAAAGAAATCAAGATGCAGTGAGGGTACATCATGTGTCCCTGAGGGCAGAGCCTGTATTTGAACCCAGGCCCAAATCTGGGCTAGGCCGTTGCCAGGACTGCTCGTGCTGGGTCCAACACCCGCCCCCTCCAACTGCCCCTGTCCCGGGGTGGCAGGTTACCCAGCTCTGCAGGAACCACTTCTTCGGTCCCACCATTGGTCAAGCACCACGTCGCGGGGCCTACGAGCAGGACTGCCTTTGACTCCTTCTGCATCTTGTAGAGGACCTGGTTGAGTTTCTTCCTGGGCACTTGGCATTTCATTACCAGCTGGGCAGTCTTCACAGGGGAGCCAGAGTCCCTCAGCACCTCCAAAATCCTCTGCTCAAGGTCTTGGGGAGGGAGACAGGGGCAGAGACAGAACTGAGTCCCCCCAACTACCCAGCCTGGGCTGGCGGCCCTCCAGGAGAGAGATCCAGGGCAGAGGCAGGCACAGAGGTCTGAGCAGACATCCACCAGCATCTCTGTACAGGGAGGGGCACGTGGGCTGCTCAGAAATGACCTTGGCTGGACAGCCTGGTGGCCAGAGGCGGTGCCAGGCCTTCCGAGCGTCCCCCACCTGAGTGAGTGCTGGAGGGCAGGTGGGAACACTCAGCTCTCAGACGTCCTCAGAGAGAGGCGAGTGGAGGCGGCAGGATGCTGGAGGGTGGGGCAGAGCACAGGAATGGGGGAGGGTGGGGAGTGAGGCCCAGCCCGGTGTCCTCCATCCCCCATCCTTCTCCTCCCGGTGGAATCTGCCCGTCCTCTTGGGCTCACAATCCACTCGGGCGATGTCACTATTCATCCCCACCAGGAACCCAACAGCCGCTCAGAAATGGATCTTTCACCCTGATGCCCAATCCCAGAGTCCTAGCAACACTGTCCCTGGCTGCCTCAAATCCTCTCTCCTCCTTTCGTTGCCTCTACCTTCTACTCCTTGTCACCACCATCTCCCGGATGACAGCAATGCCACCAACTCCTGGTTCTGCCAGCCTCGTCTTCACCCGCCCTCAGCTTCCCTTCAAGGGCCAACCTGTCTGCATTCCCTTCAGACACACTCACCCCTGGGCCTTTGCACATGCTCTTCCCTCTGTTAGGAGCAATGTTCCCTCCCTCCACCTGTCCAACGGATACTCCACCTCAGGTCTTGCTCAGACTCCATCGTTGGGAGGCTGTCCTGGATGCCCTAAGTGGGTGGGGTGCTGGGTGTGTGTGGGTCCCCTGCAGAGTGTCCCCAAGGATCCCCTGCTGTGATTGCCAGGTTCAGTGTAGTGGTTCAGTGTCTAGCATGGGGCCGGGCACACAGTAGGGTCTCAGGAAATAGCATTTGAATGAAGGAGTGACTGAGTGAAAAAGTGAGTGTACACTACTGGGTAGGTGTTTGCCCAGATGACCCGGGCAAGGGTTGAGTAGCTCCTCTGGGGCCTCTGTTTCCCCCCCACCCCGAGTTAATGGTCCTAAGCAGGATGCCTCGAGGCTCAACGAGGAACTTTCCAAATGGCCCCTACTCCTCCCAGACAGGCTCCCATAAACCAAGCCAGCTGCCCTGTGGGGAGTGAGAGAACTGGTCAGACACGGGGCCTGCAGCGCCAGGAGCTGGGGAGAGGAAATGTCTGCCCCGAGAACCCTGAGGAAAATGCAAAGCAGGTCCCTTCTTGGGAAGACCTAGGTCCCCTTCCAGGGCAGCAACCCAATCCTTTACCTTCTGGGTTTTTCCTGGATTCCTAGTGGGCGGCACTAGCGGGGGAAGGGGCAACCCATTTGCCAACTCTGCGCTGGGCACCGTGGCCTTGCCCTTGTGGTCGGAATGTTTGCATCCTTCTGGGCGCAGGTGATGTGCAATTAGAACACGTGGGGTCACCCACCCCTTCACCCACCAAACTACCCCTCAACTGGGATACCCGTCCAACCCACTGTGGCTTTGCCTAGTTTTAAAAAGAGTTTTGATTCTTAAAAAACCTGCCCCTGGGGGAGCCTCCTCCTCCCCCTCCAGTGCCCTGACCTCAAAGGGGAAATGGGGTCCATGGTGGGGCTGACGTCACCTGCTGAGTCTTCAGGCTGGTGAACTGGAAGTTGTGAAACGGATGAGGTGTAAGTGACACGTCAGTTAAAAGGAAAATCTGCCGGGGGGCAAGTTAAATTCAGTTACCGAGTGCCCCTGACATGTCTCGTTGGGGAAGTGCAACAGGAGCTTGGGAACCAGCCTGGGGTCCTGGGTCACACCCAGTCGGCACCCCTCCCCAGCACACCCTATTTTCCTGGTTTTGAGCCCCAGCTCTGCCACCTACTAGCTATGTGACCTCTCTGGGCCTCAGTTTCTCTATCTGTGAAATGGTGCAATAGCAGCTACTTCAGAGATTGTGGTGAGGATTAAATAGCTAACGATCACAAAACAAAGACAAACAGGGCTTCCCTGGTGGCGCAGTGGTTGAGAGTCCGCCTGCCGATGCAGGGGACACGGGTTCGTGCCCCGGTCCGGGAAGATCCCACATGCCGCGGAGCGGCTGGGCCCGTGAGCCATGGCCGCTGAGCCTGCACGTCCGGAGCCTGTGCTCCGCAACGGGAGAGGCCACAGCGGTGAGAGGCCTGCGTACCGCAAAAAAAGAAAAAAAAAAAAAAGGCAAACAAAAAGCGTCCCAGCCCACAGCCCTCACGCTTTCAGTGGGGACCCTAGAAAAAAGCACCGCTCAGTAACAGTTAACTTGCATCACGTGCTTGCAGGAATAGAGTGCTATCCGAGGAATGAATGCAGCAGGAGGAAAGCCACATACATGCACTTGCCCCTCTTAGCAGACAACTTCTGTCCTTCCTCAAAACGAGTGTGAAGACGGGTGTTAAGGCCCCAGGCTCTGCCGTGGTCCCCTGAGTCATTTCACCTGCAAGCCTCAGTGATCTCACACGTAAGATGGAAACCTCATCGGGCCTGCGGGTTATTGCAAAATGCACGCGAAGCATGTTGCAAGAGGCCTGGGCAGAGCAAGGCTCTGAACCTGATGCAGTGCCCTCTGTCCCTCTTTCTTACTACCGTTGTGCTTTCAGATACTGTCCTCTCGTGACTCTAATCTGGACCAAGAAAAGGAACCAGAGAAAAGGTGCAAGTCCCACCCGGGCACTCCCACTGTTCCTTAGAAGTAAGAACGTACCTGCGTCTCCTGGGCTGGCAGGGGCCTCAGCCATGCTGGCAGCGAGCTGACTGCGAGCCCAGGTGACTTGAGGGCAGCGGCAGGCTCCCCGACCCCGTGGCCTGGAGAAGGTGGGCCCGGTCGAGGCTGGGTGTGCTTTTGTGGTCCTGGCGGTGCTTTGGCAGCTGTGGAGCTATTCCAGCTTCACCCAGCCAGCTGTCAGCTGTTCACATCCCCCGGAAACAGATGCCTAGTCAGCCCAAGCTGATCAGATTCCGGAGAAAAAGAAAATGAAACTTCTGTGTGTGGCTTTTGAAGGAAACAAAATCGAAAATGAAATTGATAAGTGAGACACAGTTAGGCCTCCAGCTAGATGCTAGCAGGGAACAGCTGAGCTGGGCAAGACCAGCGCTTCCTCTGGGGCCAGGGGACTTCCCACCGCTGCCCACCCTGAGCCCCACACTCAGGCCAGGACACCTGGGTGGGTGCCTGCGTTTGTGCATATCAAAACAACAACCCTCTTTAATGAGTAGTTACTATGTGCTTTCCAATCTCGTGTGCCCCTGAATCATCTACAGGGTAGGGGCTAGTACTGGCCTCTTTTCTTAGGAAACTGAAGCTTAGGTCAGTGAGGCCACTTGTCCAAGGCCACAGAGATGCTTGGGTTCTAACTCAGCCCCACCATTTACTGTCTGTGGCGCCTTGAGCAAGTTATTTAACCTATTTATGCCTCAGTTTTCTCATCTATGAAATGGGCTAATACAAGTAGCAACCTCAGGAGGTGGTAGTGAGGGCTAAAAGGGTTAATTCATGCCTTCTACAGTCATGAACACAGCTGGACACCCACTTACCTGTTTCTGGAAGAAGGATGCATCGCTTTTGTAAATTCTCAAAGGGGCCATTGACACCCCCCCTGCCCCAAGCAGTTCAGAGCCACTGTTCTGGTCCAGGTAATAGAACGGTAAACTGAGGTCTACAGAGGTGAACGGCTTTGTGTGAGGCAGCCCAGAGTGTCAAGAACTCAACCCTGGAAGCCCCTGGGCCTGGGATCCCAGCTGCAGAAGCTGGGGAGGGGGTGCCAGGCCCAGGCTCCCAGGGGGACCCCATCCCTAGCGTTTCTGCAAAGGGAGGAGCTCAGGAGCAAGTATAGCCATGGAAAGGGCCCTGGAGACTTGACTCAAAGCTGTCCTTGCAGAGCAAGCAGGAAAAATCCTGATGCCCAGTCCACACGCAGACTACTTAAACCCCAATCTCGGGAGGCAGGGCCGAGAGTCCCAGGTGATTTCATTCCAACCAAAGGGGGAGTGTTGGACAACTCAATAAAAACAGGAAGCCACGATGATGCTTTTGTTCCTTTTTTCATGTAAAACCAAAGAAACGTGTATCTCTATGTAAACTGACAGCCTTAATGTTAAATGCGAAGTAATTGGGGGTGTTGAGGGAGATTGTGGGGCACCCTCCGGGCTCTCGCTGAGCCCCTGCGGGAGGCTGGGAGGCGCCGTGCCTGAACTGGCCACTAGATGGCGCCCGCTCACCAGCCTGCGTCCCGGCTTCCCTCGTCCGGTCCCTCTGATTTAGGGGGGCCTCTCACCCGTCCCCCACCCTAGAAAAACCCCAACTCCATCTGGATGTACCCCAGCTTCTCCCCATTCCCCATGCCTCTCCTACACAGGCTCCTTGGCTCCTTCCCTGCGTGCTGCTGACCCCTTAGTATGGACACCCCGACCTAGGCCTTGACTAGGGTGCCTGGTGGGCTTGCAGGTCCAGCTGAGGAACTCAAGCTTGATTTGAGGGTCGACTTTGCTTCTGGCCCGTGTCTGTCTGGACATGTTTAGACGGCCCTTTCCGGTGCCCCTGTGTCCCCATCACCCCCTCCCTAGCTGTGTGTCACTACCTCCCTGAGCCTTGGTTTCTTTAATTATAAAGCAAAGATAATAGATAAGAAAAAGCATGTTTATCTGACCTTTAGTTGGTGTTCACAAAATTTGCATCATTTAGAAAATGTGATGTGATGGATCTCCATAACTCCATAATATAACTTTTAGACATTAGGGGGCGAAAAAAAAGCAAGAGAGAAAGAGAAAGAAAAAACAATTTAATGTGGGTGGGCCCCATCTTCCATAGCATTTTGTGGCAATTTGGGATTCATGGAAGCCATGTACCTGCTGTGAGCATCTCACCACACTGAGTGGGGCTCTCACTTTTAAAGTTTTAATTAGCTTGCATTTCCTCTTCTCAATTTAAGAGATTTTCCAGGTAATTTTGACCATGAGGTTTGTCTTTAACTGCAATATCAGTGGCTTAAACGATACAGAAACTTGTGTCTCTCTCCTACAACAGTCTGGTAGGCAGTCCGGGTGTGGTGTGGCACACCATAGTGCTGAGACCCAGGCCCCTTCTATCTTGTTGCTCTGCCATTTGCGGCCTTATGTTCTAAGACGGCTGCTCAAGCTCCAGCCATCACAACTGCCTTACTTACAGCAGGAGGGAGGCAAGGGAAGAAGAGTAGGTACCTCTCCTTTAAGAATACTCACAAGTTGCACAGACATTCCGCTGACATCCATCAGTCCCATGGCCCAGCAAGGGAGGCTAGGAAAGATCTTTATTCTGGGCCACCAGGCACCTAGCTAAAATTAAGGGATCGATTAACTTCCAAATAGGTGACAACAGATATCAGAGGATACTTAGCTGTCCCTGCCATTGCAAGGCTCTGTTTTCCCCCCAAGAAAGGAACGAGGAAACCTCCTCTATGCCTTGAAGTATATCTGTTCTCCCGAGCTTATGTATTGAGCAGGTCCGAGGCTGAGTTCAAAGGTAGTTCCCACACTCTCAGAGACTCCCGTCCAGCATGCAAGACAAAAGGGGAGAGGAAGGGAGACAGGGACTCTGGTGACCCCCGACTCTGCCTGGGAAGGACCTCAAAGCCCACAGGAGTTCCAAGATGGCACTACTGCCTACTGGGGCCCAGATCCCTTTTTGTCTTGGAAAGCACACTCCTTTTTCATGGCTTGTGTTTTTCTGGAAACTATTAGAACTCTCCGCCCAAACCAGATGATAATTACATGTTACTGATCTCTAGTCTTTAAATCTCTCTCTCTCTCTCTGTTAAAAGAGAGATATTTTTACTGCACATTGTGTTGGCAAAACCCAGTCTCCTTTCTACCCGGCAGCCTGGATGTTACGATCAGGGTTCCTCTGTGAATTCACCTCGGGGGGAGGGAGTGGAAAGGTCTGAAGGCACCAAACGGGGACAATAATGTGTCTTTGGCCAGGGGCAAAGGGCAGAGAGCCAGAGGTGGCCAGAGACAGGGACTGCACGAGATCACAAGAGCTACCAGCAGAGGGCGAGGGGCAAAGACCCAACCAGGGGCTGCAGCGGGCAGCGGGTTCTCAGTGCAGCCCCCAAAGGCATCTGCCTGGGCTCCATTCACTGACCTTCAAGGCAGAGCTCAGTGAGCCTCCTTGGGTCATCACGTCGGATAGACCTGGGGTTCTGATCCCCGGGCCCCCATCTCATACCTCTGCTCCTGGAGCCGGTCACTACTCTTTCTGAGCCTCCATTTCTCCTTTTGTAAAAGGGGATCACAGCAGCTCCACCCTGGGCTTGTGGCAAAGCTAATCCGAGATCTTGCTCCGGAAGGTCCCAGCAGAGCACCGCGCACGTAGCATGTGCTCAATAAACAGGAGCTATCGTATCTTCATGGTATGACCCACCTGTCCCTCTCTGAGTGACAAGCAGTCCCATTTACTCATCTGGTCTTGCACCAACTCATTCCTTGTGCCTCCTTTATCCCAGGCGAAGTGCTGGAGCCAGTGGGGGGGGGGGGGGGGGGGGGGGGGGAGGGCGCTGCGGGGAGAAAGCCCCGACCCCCTCCTAGTTCCTGGCTCTACTTCCCATGTCGGCTGCAGAAAAGGCCACACTACCCAATCGAAGGATTGACGGGTGACTCAGGCCAAGTCCTGGGTCCCCTCCCCCAACTCCCAGCAGTGCTGGCTGGTAAAGGGGAGCTGGGCAGGGGTCACATGAGTCAGGGAGTTGGCCAGGGGCCAGGGCATTGAAGGCCGTGATTGAAACTTGTGATCTTCCCTCGGGGCAAAGGAAGAGTTCCTGGAAGATTTTCACGCAAGGTGGGCTGGGGATTGGGAGAGGCCGCCAGGGGTGCCAGAGAGCGTTGGCAGGAGGTTGACGGGGGAGAGGGGCTGTGGCCACAAGGAGGCTGTGTGGAGTCCAGGGGAGGGACCTGTGGCCAGCATCAGGCTGCTTTCACACCCTTCCTTCCCCCACTAACTCTTTTTAGAAGTCCTTCCCCACATCCCCCAAAATAGATTGAAATGAATTCACAACTAACTTTTATTTTTATAATCAAAAGATTTTTTGATAATGCTGCTTCCAAAATTCTTTGCCTACAAGAAATTCATTTAATTACAACTGGCCACAATTCCTCCACCGAGGGTCCAGTATTCTTGGGAATTCTTGCACAATGAAGAGATCTCACCTATAAATTTGTTTCAAATATAATGAAGTATAACGAAAAATTTTTGACGACTAAATGGAACAGCTAATGAACTTGACATAATGTTATGTCTTCTAGATGTTTAATTAAGCATTTATTGATTCTGATTTTGCAAGGTTTTTCCCCCATATTTTGGAGTTCATTTTCAAAAGCTCTTGAAGCATCTGTAGGCCTGAGGTGCTAAGACTTCTACACCTAGAAGATAAAATGGGGAAAGGCAGAGAGACAGATCGCGAGGGCCAGGATTCCTGGTCTTTTGGGGATCGTGGCCCAAGGTGAGTTGTGGCCAGGGTATTGTCAAGTATGGGGTAGAAGATGGGGCACCAGCAGAATACTTTTATGAGTTAATTCGTAACTTCTTTTAGTTTTAAATGGGTAACGTACTCTAAAATTGGACCCGAAGATGTTTCTTAAAAGACTTATCAACTGGATAGCAACTGATTTATTTAGAGCTTACTATGGACCCTATTTCCAGTGCTTTACATTATTTTATTCAATTCTTCCAGCAATCCGACAAGTAATATTAAATCTGCATTTTAATATTAAATCTGATAAGAAAACTGAGGTACAGAAAGATTATTAAGTAACCTGGGCAAGATCACGTGGCCAGTGGGTGAAATTGATGGAGTTGAAACCCAGGCTATCAAGCTCTAGAAACCAAGCTCTTAGCAATTATTTCCATTGTTATGAACAGGTACGTTGTCATCCTGCCACAGGATAAGGAGC